GCATAAGAGGGCGTCAAAAGCCACTGAAGCTGAGTTCCCCCTGACATCTCCTCGAGAGCCGGCTTCCTTCCTCCTGAGATGATTTAGTTGGTTTTACATTTGACCATGCTAAGGTGATGTATCCAACAAAGAAGCCCTTTGAGAAAGATTCCGGTCTCAGAGTTCTGATTTGCTTGGGTTCATTAGTCGGAACCTTGATATTTTGTTTGCCACGCATCTCATCACATCACTCTGTCTCCTTGGATTTCCCTGTGGCTAAATTGCCATTTATTAAATGAAGTTTTTACACATGATCAAATCTATTATTGTGCTGACATAATTGTTAAAATCAACGGCTCTTGTCTTATTACAGAGACTTACAACTCTTCATCCATTATCATTTATTAATTATATTGAATTAAATAACTTACGCAACGGACTATTTCTACTTCGGAGGACATCAGCACTTTGGGACGGTGGGTTGCTCTCCTCTGCTTGGATCGTAGACCTCCTCTGTCTTCTGAAAAGAAGCAAGAAGAAAGTTATATTGTACTTTGCATTTCATTTCCTACTCTTTGTGGGAGTATGTGTGTGTGTGTGTGTGTGTTAGCATATTAATAATAAAATGATTTTTATTGAAGTACAAACTATATTGATGAGATAGATGATAGATCGATAGATCAATAGATAGACAGACAATCAGCTAGATAATGTGCCATCAAATTGGTGTTGATTCTTGGTGACCACATAGACGTATATTTAGGATCTTTCCACTGTCTGCAAGAATTATTTTAGTGATCTTAATAGAATTAGCAAATTGCAAATGTGCATATTCTACAATATTTTCTAATATTCCATATAATGATAAGCTTCAGGTAACAAATAATATTTTAAACATGAATATGGAAAAAATGTAGCATTCAACATAGTACCTGTGTTTTCCCGAAAATCAGACCGGGTTTTATTTTCTTTTGGGCCACCAAATAAGTCCTAGGGCTTATTTTGGGGAATGCCCTTTTCCCCCATGTACGGGAGGCCCACTTCTTCTGCTTGCTTGCTGCGGGGCAGGAGGCCATGCGGTGCTCCAGTGCCACCACCATGAGCCATGGGGGAGCTACCCCATGCACCCCACACCAGGGCCCTGCAGCCAGGCCACCCCCTCCCTGACAGCTTCCTGGCCTCACAGCCACAGCACCAGTTCACTCCTCGGCCTCCTGCTCCTTTGCAGCCACACGCAAGCAGAAGTGGGCGGGTGGTCATGTGGGCTCCTGCTGCACGTGGGTGCTGGTGCTGCCACCATAAGGTAGCTGTTGGGATGGGGATGGCATGGCTGTGGGGTCCCTGAGGTAAGCCGGTGGGGGGCACATGGGGCAGCTCCATCACCACTCTGCCTTGCGTTGTGCTGCAACCAGATGGAATAGGCAGCTGGCCAACTGTGCAGGCTTTTTAAGTAGGGCTTAAATTGGGCCCAAACATAAAACATGCCAGGACTTATTTTTTGGATAGGGCTTATTTTCAGAGACATAGGGCATATTGCTATAAGGAAAGTGAATATTTGAAAGGTTAGATGCCTGTTGGGAAAATGATATCCAGCTGTATAACAAATGAGAAATAAACAGAGGAAGCACATCTGGTTACAGAGAGATAATTGATAATAGAGGTTGATAATAGAGGTGACTGGGCCCCGTTCGTACAAGGTTGAATTATATGATGACCAAGTATGGTGGAGCCACACAGACCAGCTTAAGGGGTGCAGGGAAGCTATGCCGTTCCAACAATTCGATGAGGCTGGGTCAAATTCCCCCACTCACCAGGACACCAGCTGAGAATGACATCGAACCAGGCCGTGGCGCTACCACCTTCAACGCTAGCAAAGAGAGGACTTACCTAGAGAACCAAGCTTTGTTCCAACACCGGCAATTCAAGTCAATGGAAGGGTGCCGTCTCCAGACATTCCAGAAGCCCCAGCAAGTATACCTTCCACTCCTATGGCCTACACCAAACTATGAGCCCAGCGCCGCCCTGCCTACCTTAAAGACTACGCATGCACAGATTAGGTGGTAAGGAGTGTTGTGTCCTGTCTTCCCTCTGGTCTGCTCCCCTAGTGGGAGCTGAAGAAATGAAGACAGGTTGTGATTGGCTGGTTGCCTGGCAGCTCAGTACAAAAGAGCTGTCAGATGGAATCACCTTAGCTGTGGTTGTTAGCTGTGCTGTGTTAGCATTGTTAGCATTGAACTAAACCTTGTTAGCATTTAAGATCTGTCTCGCCTCAGTCTGTCAGGCACCATTCTTAGTATAAAACGTTAGTGTTCCAATATTTGAGGGGCTGCCACAGAGGAGAAGCAGTCGGCCTATTTTCCACAGCACCAGAAGGTAAGACAAGGAATGAGAGAATCAACCTAGCACTAAGGAGAAACTTCCTAACAGTGACATCAATTAAGCAGAGGGACAGAAGTTGCCTTCAGAAGCTGTGGAAGATGCTCCATAACTGGAGGCTTTGAAGAAGAGGCTGGACAACCACTTGTCTGAAATGGTATATGATCTCTTGTTTGAGGAAGGGGTTTGACTAGAAGGCTCCCGAGATCCCTTCCAGCTCTAGTATTCTGTTATTCTGGATTTCCCAATATTCCACGTCAAGGAAATGGCAGAAGCCCCCTTTGCACCAGAATGCGCCCAGACACACAACCGTGTGCTCAGTCAGTGTTGCATTAGCTGTGCACATCCAACATTGATCCACATTTCACTACTGTGGAAGAATGGCCCATATTCACATATTTCAAATCTCAACAGAGTTTTAAAGGGATCAAATCCTTAGTGGGATCCCCTTCTGGTTTCCCTTCTGCTTGGTTTCAAGCTGCTCTGTGCTTTCAAGAGAACGTAGGCCACAAAAGTCACGGCCAAGGTTTCTTTGAGAGAGGCCACTTCTGAAAGAGCTCATGAAACTGAAGGCTCCTCCAGGAAGTGGATTTCTCCTCTTGGAAAAGAGCATGGGAATCGGAGGTGAAACATCCCAGAGACGACGATTCTCTCAATGGGGACTAGGCCAGTCGTCCCCTGCATTTTAATTAGCAAGATCACATACCATATAGGACGCCACATAGGAAACCGAGCAACTTTTTTTACCTGCTTTGGAGTGAAATATTCAACTTGGGCAAAAGATCTTCAGGGGTATACGGGGTCCCTTTGCAGGTGGCATCAGAACTGCAGAGCACAGTTTGGAGAAATGGCAAGAAACCCGTGCTGGGAAGATTCCGAGGGGCCAGGTAACCTGAAAGGAATGAAACAAAATAATACAGTCAGGGGAATTGGTGAAGAAATATTTCTCTGTAGTTTGCTTTGTTTTTTTTTTTTAATACGGAAAGGTTTCTGGCAAAAAGAAATAGAGCTCTAAGAGCTGGTCTCCATAATCCTGGAACCATTGAACTTTATCTTTCAAAGATCCTGGAGCCCCAGGGAACCACCAGAGAACTGGAAAAGAGCTAATGTGGTTCCCATCTTCAAAAAAGGAGACAAAGAACCAGATCCAGGAAACCACAGCCCAATCAGCCTGATTTCTTTCCCGGGAAGGTCCTGGGAAAGATAGTTAAGCAACAGACTTGCAAATACCTTGGGCCCAAAGTCCTTTTCGGATCCTGAGCTTGACTTCTGGAGTGTTTGCTTAGCATCACCTACAAATTTACCAGTTCCCCTTCTATTCCCTCATCTAATTCATTGGTGAAGATATTGAAGAGTCCTGGGCCTAAGACGGAAGCTTCTGGAACCCCACTGCTTACTTCCCTCCATGTAGGTGCATTACCATTGAGGACTACTAATTGAGTAGGGTTTGTCATCCAGTTGCAAATCCATCTGGTGGTGATGCTCTCTATCCCACATTTTTCTAACTTACCAAGAGGCAGGTTGGGGCTTACTGTGTTAAATGTAAGCCCAGCAATCTTTAACTTTGTCAAATTCTCCTTTTTTCCTACTAAATTCTACTTTGCCGAATTTAGGCCCAGCATTCTTCAACAACTTCATAAACAATTTAGATGAGGGATAGAAGGGGGACTTATCAAATGTTTAGATGACACTAAACTGGCAGGAATAGCTAACTTCCCAAAAGGCTGAAGATCGAGGTGGATCTCAACAGACTTGAAAACTGGGGCTTTGCTAACAAAATGAAATTCAGTGTAGAGAAAGGGAAGGTTTTACACTTAGGAAAGAAAAATCAAATGTATGAGTACAAATTACTTCCTCCTGGGTGGGGGAACAGGTCAGGTCCGCACAGATTCCTACCGGGACACTGCCATTCCTGTGGGAAGGGGCGGTGTGCCAGTTTGCAACCTTTCTTTGTCTCTTTGACTTCGATGCCCCTTCTTGGGAATGGGAGGGGGCGGAATAGCCTGTTTCGTCTCAGCTCTGAGGGATCAGCAAATGGCAGCTGAGAATAGCTTCTTCTCACCTTCTCAGCTCGAGGTTCCTGTGGATTGGCTCACCTTCAGACTGGAGAGAGGGGAGGGGTTTCTACAACTTTTAACCTAATGATTTTGAGTGAGAATTTCAGATCCTGCCTTGCTTTTCTTGCTATCTCCCAATAAAAGTTCCTTTTGAAATTATGCTGGTTTCAAGAGTTCTTCTTTCTTGAGGAGAGAGGAGAGGCAAGGCCTTACAACCACACTCAGTTTTGGTAACCATGTTATTAAAAAAAGATGCTAAGACTCTGGAAACAATACAGAAAAGAGCAACAAAGATTATTAGAGGCAACCCCTCAAATATTGGAACACTGCTATCATGTCACTCCTTCAGAGGATCGGCAAAGGACGAGGCAGGAGCCAAGACTGCAGAATGAAGAACTTCCTTTATTGACAGGTTAGAACTATAGACAAGCGATTCAGCACCTTTCCCTGCTTGGCAGCTATTGATACGGAGCTGCCAAGCAGGGAAAACCAGTAAGCGCGCCCCTAGCCCGCGCTTAGCCAAGCCGCGCCTTAGCCAATCAGGGCACGGCTTGGCTTGTTGCTGGCCGCTAGGTCGTAAGTCGAGGACATTCTGAGTCCTCAACAAAAACAGGAATGGTTGCAGGAATTGGGTATGTCTAATTTAGTGAAAAGAAGGATGAGGATTGACATGATAGCAGTGTTCCAATATTTGAGGGGTTGCCACAAATAAGAGGGGGGGGGGCATCGTCAACCTAGTTTTCAAAGCACTAGAAGGCAAGACAAGAAACAATCGATGGAAACTAACCAAGAGGAGAAGCAACCTAGAACGAAGGAGAAATTTCCTGATAGAACAATTAACCAGTGGGATGGCCTATCTTCAGAGGTTCTGGGTGCTCCCTCACTGGAGGCTTTTTAAAAAAGAGACTGGGCAGCCACTTGTCTGGAATGGAATAGCAATAGCAATAGCAGTTAGACTTATATACCGCTTCATAGGGCTTTCAGCCCTCTCTAAGCGGTTTACAGAGTCAGCATATATTGCCCCCAACAACAATCCGGGTCCTCATTTTACCCACTTCGGAAGGATGGAAGGCTGAGTCAACCCTGAGCCGGTGAGATTAGAACAGCTGAACTGCAGTCAGCTGAAGTAGCCTGCAGTGCTGCATTTAACCACTGCGCCACCTTGGCTCTCCTGCTTGAGTATGGGTTGGATTAGAAGACCCCCAAGGTCCCTTCCAACTCTATTATTTTGTTATTCTCTTATTTCTCATCCATGGGGTGTGATTAGTGGTGGGTTTCACAAAATTTTGGAACCTCTTCTGTAGGTGTGGCCTGCTTTCCGGGTCCACTGGTGGAACCTCTTCTAACCTGTTTGGTAGATTTGACGCACCGGTTCTACCGAATAGGTGCGAACTGGTAGGAACCCACCTCTGGGTGTGATGCTAGTTTGCCTCCTCGTGGTGCACCCTGGATACATGGTAGTGTGAACCAAACAACTAACAGCAAGTGGCAGCCAGGCTGCATTGAAGAGTTGGCAGTTAATGACAGCTGGCAGCCAGGCATCTTTGCAGGACTCCTGGCCCTCTAAATAAATGGCAATGAATGGCATGGCAACTTTGACGTCAACACGCAGTGGAAAGCCAGGTGGACCTCTGGATGCCCAGATACAGGCAGTTACGTAGATGACCCTACACAAAAGGTGACAGGTTTTGACCTTCCTTGCCATTAAAGTTTGTTTATAGTTATCTTCCTTTGCCACCTTGAGCTCTGCGGGGATAAGCTCAGCAAAAGAGGACCTGGACCTCTTCTCATGGAGGCAACCTTTATGCCTTTAAGCCTAGATCTAGAAATGTATCTAAATCATAGTTACAAAGCCAGCTGGATGACTCATGGCAATAACTCTCTCTTAAATATTGGGAAAAGGTACTAGCAATCCACTCCAAAATACATTGCCAAGAAAACTGTGGGAACCTGTAATCTCTGTAATCCTCAGGAGTCTCGCTTGACTTGATGGACTAGAACAGCAGCAATAAATGGCAACAACTGCAGCTTCTTATTAGGGGCCACTTGCGAGTTCACACTAATGGCTGGGTCTACACAAAGTTCTGATCTCCCAAGCTTAGATTTTGGTTAGAAGCACTGCTCTCCATTATGGCCACAAAGGTCCTTGCCATGATTTCCCAAGTATTCTTTTAATTCCTGTGACTTGTATTACTGGGTGAACAGCAAATGGCCTAACAAAATGGGCATTCATCAGGGAAGTACAGCTCTACTGGTTCAGCACAGGATGTTGCATACATAAAGGTCAAGTGTGGAATAAAAGTCAAAGACTGGAACCAGATTCCAACTTCACTGGGCTCCAACAGAGGGAATTATGTCTCATTATAGCTATCAATATAAAAACAATCTGGTAGAGCACCTCTTAACTGGAAAAGGACTGAGGCTACCTTCAAGCTGCTAAAAGAGATCATTGCAGAATAACAGAATAACTGAGTTGGGAGGGACCTTGGAGGTCTTCTAGTCTAATCCCCTGCTCAAGCAGGGGAACATTGTCAGGGTTCCAAATAGCATCCAAAAGTAAATCAGAGTCCGAGGCAAAGGATTGCTCAAAGTTCCAATTGAT